TTTTCGATCTTGTGCTGCCAGAGTTTTCTCGAGCTAATAAGACTATATATAGTTTTTTATATAATTTGTATTGTTTAGATGAAGTTCATGTGTATATATTCAATAAATATAGCATACTGTATTATACACATCTTTTGGAATATACTGTTTTTAGAGATACCGTGTTTTACAAAGTGGTGGTTCCGGCAACCAAAGAGCGTCAAGTAGCGCTAGTTGTGGAAACTGTTTTCACGCATATGCTACAGCCGTTTCCGACACACATTATGCAAAAAGATCAGCAGTAAAAATTTCAAATTGTTAATCGTCGTTTTGAACTGAATTTAATTTAACTGAATTTTGAAGGTACGTCGTTTTTAACGGAAATTTATATTTCTTCTCGCCGTACACGGTCAAAAAGCAGAGTCTTCATGTCAAATTGTCTGCTGGTGCTCTTGAATATTACAGTAAACAGGTGCAGCCTGTGAGACGCAACGGCACGACTTTGGTTTATGGCTCATACGAAAACGTTGGACCGTACTCGAAGGTTGGTTTTTGTTCGTTTTTTTTCGCCATGGCCAACAGCGCGTCGTCTTTCAGTCACCGTTACGAGTTCATTATGAAAACAATTCGCCATTCCTCGTCGTCAAGAACATCGAGCGGGTCATCGAAGTGTCGCACTGGGGCAACATTGCCGTCGAAGAAAAGTTGCAGATCGTCCACGAAGGGGCACAGCTGATTGGCCCATTCTCACGTCTTGACTTCCAGCGAGATTTTCGAGAAAAGATGCCGTGCGTTCGCCAGTTGAAGGTGACAGAAACATCGTAACTTAGTACCGCGTTTCATAACTGCAACGAAGTTTCCAAAACAAGCATATGCTTATGGTCCTTGACTTTCTCCACTGTTAGTTCGTCATTCATGAAGAAGGTGGTTATCACTAACCTTTGCACGTTCATATTTCTTAGTTCTTAGTTTTTATTCTCTCTGTCGCTTAGTAGAAACAAATCGGGTATCATAAATTGGAGCATGTAAAGGTCACTTTTCGAGATCTTTGGCGTTGGCAGATTTCAGTTCACAAAACTTGTGGTGCCGCTAATTTCAGCCGCTCCCTGGTCGCGCTTTGATACATTTCCAACGAAGTTGTTTGCCCTATTTTCTCGAAATATGTTCTTATAACTTCAGCGTCTCAGTCATGTATGCCGTCTCATTTTTTAAATCTGATCTGATTAAGACCGTTCTTCCCGCCTCCGCAGCACATGTCTACTACCGAGACGAAATCGGCAACGTTTCTACAAGCCACATGCGGGTTTTGGACGACGCTGTAGAACTGATTTTTGAACCGAGGTTCCCCCTGTTTGGCGGATGGAAAACAGATTACGTCATTGGCTACAATGTTCCCACCTACGAGTATCTGTACAGTTCTGGTAAGAAGGCGATGGTCGTTGTTCAGTGATATTATTAGAAGGAATAACAATGTTTTTTTTTCAGGTAGCAGATTCGGCTTGAAAATGCGTTTCGTTGACCATATTTTCGACTCGTTTGTCGCGGATTCAGTTACGGTTAAGATAATCCTTCCTGAAGGCTCAAGGTAAAATGTCATTCTTAAAGTTTCATGTACTATTTCTTGTAAACTGAACTGTTCAGTTGAAGTGTGTAGTATACTCGGATGGGCAAGCTTGTGATGCCTCAGCAGCTGATTCAGCTGTGATATAGCAACGGGTAGGGATTCTGCTTCATTGCAGATATGATTGCTTTATCGACAAAGGGTGGAAGGGCGCAGTAGATGGTATGCTATAATGGAATTCAGTGGTAGATATTGCCCTCATCAGCGATTGCGTCTTAACCGCGTTGATCTACACGGAGAATTGAATGGAAATAGGTGCTACAGAATAGTGCCCATCGTGTAAGTGAACCAAAGTGACACCCTGGTGGGTTAAATATTTCATTTTCGTTTCATTGCCTGTATTGTCTTCAGTTCATTACTAGGTGTTTTTTCGTAATAACCTGGAAGATTGGAATCCCAGCCATGTTTTTTCGTTTCTGCTAACTATTTAGAGCAGTCGAAACGCAGATCTTTTGCTGTTTCAGTGCCTAGCCAGTGATCAGCGGTGCTTATTTGTTCTTTTTGCTATAAAAGTTGGTATTTTTGTATTGAAATTTCCTATATTTTAACGTACTCCGAAGTTAGTATATTTTCAAGAAAACTTCACAAACGAAACTTTTGATTTTACCTGAAAATATTGGCAGTTCAAGTTCATGAAAATTCTCTGGAACTGGTTAATCTCGTTTTGCGTTATTGTCATAAGTGGCTACTATACTGACCATTAGTGAATGTTCCTTCTCGCATAGCCCCAGAGCAGGCCTTACAGAGTTTGTTCACAATTATAGCATGAAACCCAGGCCGTCGACTAACACCAATGGCAGCCAGTAGAAATGGCACCGAACCTAGTTTTGTTGTTAATTATATTGACGTTGCATGGTCGACTATAATAGCTGTGCATTTATTGTAGCGATTTTAACTTCAAATGTCCATACGATGTCGTAAAAGGACCTTTGGAGTATCACTTTACGTATTTGGATTCATCTGGCCGTCCGGTGATTACTGCGCACAAATCGAACGTCGTCGAAAACCACATTCAGAGTTTTGAGGTAGCATCTTCTCATATTTTTGTAACAAACAAATGCCATTCGGCGATTTTGCTTAGCTGTTTTATTCATGGGATCGAACTCTTATTTACCGGGAACCAGCTATGGTCGTGATCGCTTGCTTCCTGCTGTTTTTCGTTGTGATCGTTTGGGTCCGTCTTGACTTCACAATTGTCGAGGTGAGTTCGAATAGTTAAGTAATTTGTGGGATCAACCGATCACGTTATTTTTTCGGCCGTGTGTTTCAGGATCGCGTTGCTGAGAGTCGAGTAAAGCTTAGTGCTATAATGGACAACATCACGTCTCTACATAACCAACGGTCAGCTGATTACGAGTCTTACATTGATCTTGTCAATAAGTTAAAAGTAGACAAAGACCTGGCTCACTTCAACTCAGCCAAGAAGAAAATCGAAAACGATTTCAAATTACAGAATCAGCAGATTTCTGACCTTCACGCCCAGTTAAAGGCAGAGAGCGCCGAGGCTGCAGAGAAGGTAGCGCTAACGTTTGTTTAATCGTTTTTAATTCAGTTTTTAAAATTTCTTTTACTTTTTGCATAATTTTTGAGGCATTTTTTATAATATATGCTTAAATTTGAAATCCATTCGAGTGATTGGCCCATTAATAATAATGTTGGGCGGTGTGCTGTTTAGGTTAACGAAATGCAACGCCTTGATCGATCTATCAAGGAGGTGATATCTAACTGGGCGACTGCCGTAGAAAGATTCGTTGTGGGAAAAGGGTCAAAGCAGCTAATGACCGACTTGGAGAAGAATCTGCGCCTGAAGATGGATGAAACAGCCGAAAAAATTGGTCATCTGTTATATAGCATTTAAAGCAGTTGTTGGTTTCTGGTTTTCATAGTTGTTGTTTTAATTTTTGAGTTGTTTCCTGAAGTATGCTGCAAGGCGAATAAACATTTTGGATTGTTTCCGTCGATCATTTTTCACACTGTCGTTCGTAAAATCTGACCAGAATACTTCTATCACTGAACTTTGTATTGTTTCGATTTTACGTTTCTGTTTCTGTTTTATACATTTCCGTGAATTGCGTGACGTTTAGTAGAACGGTGTGACTCCATGGTAAGCTCTGCTTGCACTGGCGTTATTGCGATGCCACTATTGTTTGAAGTACTTTAGATATCATGGAAGATCAGACCCTGAGGCAAATCGTATGCATTAGTGAAACAGTGTCTAATGCTCTTACAAGAGAAGTTCGATAAGACAGAGAACTTCTTATTGCGACGAACGGAAGATCTTTTACATCTCACGTGGAGAAAAATCGGGCAGTGCTGAAAGTGAACTGATTCTCATGAGATGTCGTATTCTTCGCCGATTAACATCACTATTTCAGTTGTTTAGTCGTACAGAGCCATAAACGAATATTTGTCTGTTTCGTGGAGAATATTTTCTTTGCATTGATATGTTACTTAAGCAACTGACGATGATTATGGCCTCCTCTGAAAAGGGTTAGTGAATAATACAGTTTCGTTTCAGCGTAGTGCGCTTAGCCTTGAACTGTGAACAATTTTCATTTCGTCGTACTGGAAAATAGTCAGCGTGTTTCTACGAAATTCTTGAGCTCATACGAAGTATATGATGTTCCATTATAGGAGCGTTCAGTAAATACACAAGATCCCATTTTACCTGTGATCATCTATGATTTTTCAAGTACTTCAGTGACTAAAGAATACTGGCATTGCGTAATCTTTTCAAGTGTGTAACTTGATCGCCTTTTCAAGGTTCGATAACATAAGTCAGAAATTCTTTCCAACCTTTTGGTTAACCAATTTTTTATGGTCGTCCATTACTGTTTTGTAGTGTGTGTCCATTCAGAAATGTCTAAGGTTCAGACACTTATTACTGAAGAAAATGACGGCGTAACTTGTGACCAACTGTTTGCCGAAAATCCCGGATTAACCTACAAGTAGGTGTCTGCTGATGGTTGAATAATTTAAAACGTGCTGATTGTAAAAAATGTTTTTAGTGATTTCATCATTTTGCCAGGCTACATTCACTTTTCCGCTGAGAGCGTTGACCTGTCGTCGCAGCTGACGAAGAAGATTCGACTCAAAACTCCTATGGTTTCCTCTCCGATGGATACCGTGACCGAATCAGGAATGGCTATCGCAATGGCGGTAAAATCTCTGAATTGTCTTTAACCTTTTTAAACTGTATTGTTACATGTGCTAGGCCATTACAGTCGTATGAGATCTGTCAAAGGTTCTTATTTTATCTTAATAGTCGTAATTCTTTTTGGTTAGTCATATTAATTTCGATAGTATAAACATATGTGCAGGTTATGACATTGCTGCCATTACTTTGTTTATTGTACATAAAATGTATTACTTTGAAATGTTCTTATCTGTACCGATGTCATGCAGTGTAATTTTTTTATGACCGACGGCGAAATCGAGAATTCTGACGAGAACCGTCTGACAAGAGACTTTCCGTCTTTGAAAAGTTTGTTGTTCAGTTTTTTTCACTATTTAATTATAAGCGCAGGACGGTTTTCTTCGAAAATTAAATTATTATAAGTAAGAATTTTTAAATTAAATAAAAAATTAAGGCTGTAAGTTTTACCTTTCATGACATTCCAAAATAAATTGTAATCTAACGTAAAAACTGCTGTACTATTTTCAAGTAAAAATATTAGGCAGCGTTATTGCCAAGAAGATATTGATTTTTGAACAGAATTTGATTTGCAGACGAATTAAAATCGGTGCTCGTGCAACTGTTTCA